CTCTAACGAGAGGCCAAAATCAGCAATTTTGACATAGCCCTCAGGATCAAGGAAAATATTGTCTAGCTTCAGATCCCTAAATAATGAAGACAAATATAAATGTGAGATAAAGGAGAGAGCAGAGATATGAACACATTATTTCTCATTGGAGTACGTTATCGATTCTAAATAAACAAATGCCAATACTGACCGATGAAGGATCCCGCGGGAATGGAGAAACTGGATCCCACAGGCAAGGTTTGCTGAAAAGAACCTTAAAAAAAAAAAAGAATATAAAGAACATAAAACAATCTTTCCTTAGCATTAATATTATAATTACATATGACAGGGCAGAACATTTCAATTTATTGATACGCTACATGGTAACATAATCATGCTAAACACTCTGCTTCCAATATATACAGAACATTTTTATTTTAAATGAAACAGGACCCGTCCACGGGACATTAGAGTTTACTTTATCATTAATATTATTAAAACCATCCATTATTTTTTAATTTGGAGACATAATAAAATACCCATTTAACCATTCTCATTTCTTTACTATAAACCACAAACTGCTGTATGATTGTTTGAGTCCCTTTTAGTTTGTTAAGTGTGCAAATCAATAATCTATACATATATGAAATTACTCAGAAGATCCATGATAATAGAAATGTGTATTTAAAGCAGTATGCACTGTGTAGAAGGTGATACACTCTGTAGTCAGCTCATGGCTGCAGCAGGTCAGATGACCGATAGCGGCTACTGATCTGCCGTCAGTCTGTACAGAACATATCCCGGTACCAGTCCTGGGTTTCTTGTATTGCCCATTGTTTGGATAATATTAAAGGGGGGAATTCTTGTTTAGTACATTTAGTTCATTAGTCTGTACCCCTGATAGATCTCTATGGATATCAGTACTAAAAAGGGTATATGTAAATATGATATATCCATCCCCTCTTACATTCCTGTATCATGTGTTAAACTAACTCCTTGTCGCTCCTACCTGCTAGTGCTATTAATGACTTACCTTGCTTCCACCATTGGCAGACATTCCTTCCTTTTGATGTAGGATTGGAGACTGCCCCCAAGTACGTACTCCATGATCAGCTAGGCTTGCTTCTGTTTCACAAATGAAACAACAAATATCAAAATAATATATATTGCAATAATAATAACAGAACGCAATTAGCCATATAGAAATATATAGAAATGAGGAAACATTATGGACAGAGAGTCCCTGACATAGGAACGGAACGGGCTTCAGCTCGCCATGCGCAGTATCCGAGCCTCCTTCTCAATTTCAGTTTCTTCAACACTGCCTCTCTTTATTAGTTTTAATAGCAACAAACTGGCCGTTGTCCTTGGAGGAAGCAAGCATCACCCGAGCATCACACAGATAGAGGATTTCAGCTATTTTTTATTTTAAAACTTCATTTAAATAGTGGACACATATGGACATCATTTCAAC